TTCACCGGTCGGTTGGCTAATTGCTGAATGGCGACCCTTCCTGCCAGCACGCGACGTGACACTTTGGGTAGACCTGAGATGAAGCACTGGCAGAGCAGCTGTTTTACTACGTTATGGCATTTGGGAGGCAAGGTTCCATATTTAGATTGTGCCAATCAATTGGTAGTTTTTGCTGCTTATGCCTTCTCATTTCTGCCAAAGTGTGTTGCTGCGCTGAAATAAGCATGAGCTAATGAGCCACGGCGGGCAACAAGGCTTCATACATTGTCTTCCTATTGTTCTCATGGACTTGGAAGCCGGCTTCTGCTGCCCAAATAGGAGCGTCAGCCCACTCACCTTTCATCGCCCAAGAGCTGGTCCCCCAGACTGTTGCCAATAAAAATCAAGCACCCGAATTATCAAATAGCTTGATCAAAACGAGACAGCCTATTTAGGACAACCTGGTATTCCACTGAATCCATAGCAGTGGAAGATCGGTGATCAGTTGCATCGAATCATGCGGTCTATCAAGTAAAAAGATCCATCTAGGTCTCCATGAAGGACGTCGACTCCTCAGTCAATATAAACTTGGTAGAAAGTTGTTGATTGTTTCCCAGAAAGGCGCGCAGCTTTCCCTACCCACACCCCTCAAAGTTCCCGATACAAGAGGAGAGAAAAAGCTAGAGTATGTGTTGCTGCACCTCCTAAGCATTTCGAGTACTCAATGCTACTGCGCTTCGCTATTAGTACACATGTACACGACAGTGCGATCTATAGCATTAGGGCAACCCTACTTCGGTAGAAAGGAAACAAGCGGACAGGCGTACCAATAAGTCAACTCTTAGCTAGTTCTTGATTGAGTGGTACTAGTGTAGAAGAATGTGTTTAAGTGGAACTTAGTCCGCTACATTTACAATCTAGTGAGTCGTACAAATATGTAAAAGGCACCTAATGCATTACACGGATCCATACGGAAATGATTCAAAGAAGACTAAAATACACTCGATGAAAGTCCGGGCAACAGAGTCCTGTGTAATGTATATAGCCTTAATACTAGCTTGTCTAACGCCAACAGTTTCATGTAAGCTGGACTTGATCCATAATTTTCAGAATTCATAGGCACGGCTGCCGCCCCCAATTCGCCTGCCGAAGAAAGCCCACAAAATTCCTTTATTCTAGATGAATTATTGCAGGATAATGTTTAGTAGCACGCAAAAGTCACTTGCTTTTACAGACATGCAGTGAACCAATGGCATGTTGAAGCTTCTTCTGCCAGCACTGTCACTACCTGCACCGCATCCCGTGGTAAGCCCAAATTTGGTGATGTGAAGATAGTTTTCACGTATATCCCCAAGGTAGTATATTTACTGGCAGATCTAATGTCCGTTATCTCTGCGAAAGTGCGTCGTGCCATCGAAGCCCCCGGTCTGGAGTAAATGGCAATCCCCACATTGAAAAACTTACTGTCCTTTTCCTGCAACTCGAATTCATCAGCACACAGAAAAATAAGCTGCCAGGTAGGAAAGAAAGTGAGAGGGAGGCAAGGAGAGATAATTATCCATAGGTTCGTGGCCGCGGTCCCTTTTGTTGTGTGAGCTGAGTTGGTCTACTGGGAGCCCCAAAAAGGATTCCGAGGCATTCTTTTTGGGGCTCCCTTTTCCATAACCATTTCATGATATAATGCTACCTAAATAATATTATGCGTTTGTGCCCAGGCCTCCAGAAAGTAGCACACCATCATCGTGCTGGAACGTATTTTGTCCATTTTTCTGCCCTAGCACGTAAGATAAGACAACAGTGGTTCCTACGTTTCAGAAGTGCTCCTTGAATGTGGAGTTGTTGGTGTGAGCTCTGAGGACGGTTGAAAACAAGAGCTGTGGCGTTGGTTCTACCCCAGCCAGTTCAGATCTTGACGCAGTAACAGGCCGAATGGTACGGAGGACGCGTTCTTGCTGATTTTAAATGGATCATATGTGTAATACCGATCTTCACTGGGCAGAAGACGACAATGCAAGAGGAACTGATACACCACCACTTGATATTGGCGCCTTTCTCGATAACCCTCAGTGGTGGCCCCAGGGGGTGAAGGGCTGTACCGAATTTACCGGCGCAGCAGAGGGAAACAGGCGTTGCAAACTACGCAGTGCAACGCTTGAATTGCTACACACCCTCAGATCTATTTTGTCCACCTCGTATTTCGGTACAATAAAGCATAAAGCATGCCCCGAAGATGAACACAAGGAAGGAAACCGGTCGGGGCCCCCAGCAAAAAAAAAAATATCCTCTACCACCGTGAGCAGCGGTGGCGTGTATATGAAGGATGTTCCTCCGTGCTTTTCTGTTTTCACGCGCTTTAACTGCAATGTAACACTCGTGGGTCAGCAGTTCCTCGCCGCGGAAATGGCAGTTTCTGTTCTTTGCAGTGGAATGGCTTCAGTTCAAGGTAATGAAATTCTTAAAGTTCTAAAGTATGCAGCAGACAAGGACGAAGTGTACTTTAGGCACATTATGCTGAGCCCCACTACTAGCGCGCTGGCACAGAAAGAGCAGCGTATCAAGAAATACGGAATGGCCGCAAAAACAGAGTGTACGGAGAAGACGAGGTGTATAAAGGATGACGCATGTATCAACGAAAGAGCGTGTACAGGTGAAGATAACGGTGCACTCACAGCCGGGTATGCAGGTGAACCGCAGCCTCTTCATCTGTTGGGAAGCAATGCGCCGTTCTCATATGGATTCCTAGTGGCGCATCTATCTGCCTTTCCTCCGCAAGTGCGCCAGTTGGTTTTGTCCGAGACATTGCCGTTTGGGCGTATCCTTGATGTTTGCGGAATAAAGCGGTTCGTGGAGACAGATTGGCACTTGCATATTCACCTAGGTGACGCCTTCTTCAGCCCGCAGGACGAGCCTGGACGTGGGGCCGTTGAGTCGTCCAACATCACTGACTCTGAGGGCAAGTTCAAAGAGGAAACTGTCGAGTGTAGGTGTACGAAGGCACCCCATGGATCGCGCTGTACATACGGAAGGCTGATGACAGTATGGTGCGACGGGCAGCCAGGGGCACGGGTGGTTGAAATTCTAAATCCTACAGTTGTACTGACTACCCTTCTTGCTGCTGAGGCAGAGCGAAAGGCCGGGGTCGTAGAAAAATTTAGAGATCATGCTTTAGTCTGCCCAGGGAACGGCAGTCACAGTGTGAGCATAAGTCCTCGTAATCCTTGGCGTACTGCCGAGGAAAGGTTTCACTTTCTTGCTGCTCACTGCCTTCACTCTGTATTTCAATGCCCCATTCACCGCGGGGTGCTTCCTAAGCCGCACATCACACTAGAGGATCTGCTGCGTAAGCGGAAAGCAGGCGAGGTCTGTGGGCTCTGTGGAAGCAGTAGCTGCTCCACTGATTTTCAGTGCGCCTACACAGCAGACCTTGCGTCATTTCCTATTTGAGAAAGCAATGAATGTGTCCAATCGATACTTGAATACTACCTTTATCTAAGGCTAAAATATAGCAGAAATACCGTAGAGTTCCATCCCCTAACGTGTTTGAATAGGTGTTGTAGCGCCGCACTGCTATGCAGGCCACCCTGGAATATGATCTGCCCTTTCCCCAGCAGCTACTCCTTTAAAGGTTTGACAGCTTCTTACGTTTGGCCCTTGTGGGCCGAAAGTACAGCAAGCGGTCCTTCTCCACAATCTCTGTTGATGTGCAGAGTGCCAGCTTGTGGTTGGTGGCCTCCTTTATACCTGGCATTTATGCTCTGTTGCCCAACTTGGCGGTGCGACTTTTGGCCCAGCGTCGCTTCCTTTACTTCGCCCATATGGGGGCAAAGCACTCTTTCCCGTCACTTGGAGATAAGGCAAACATATGAAAGTATACTGAAAAAATGGCGGCCAATACTCTTTAGAATCCGTTCATTAATCAATGTTCTGCTTGATGACCCGCAGAATGCCAGTAGGCACCCCTCGAATGCAATGAGAACTGGAGACTGGGGAATCTCCCATTACTTTTATGATGCCTCCGGCTTTTTGAGAGGTACAGAATGTGCAGCACTAGTATGTTCTGCATCGTAAGTGTTCATCCTGTGAAAGTTTCTATGAAGGAAGCTATGAACACAGTTTCAGAGGCATGTTGGCGGCGCGCAGGAATTCCTCAAGAGAAGCTCCAAGCCACCAGCTAGTGCATCCACAACCGGAGGAATTTTGAGGTGCCCGAAGAAGTTGTGGCTTCTTAAAATGTTCCTCTGACATAATATGGAGGTAAAATGGACCACGAGCGCACGAACAAATGGAGGATGGCTATGCTCCAAAGGCGCTGCGCTGTGTGATTCAACATACATATTTTGCCAGGCGATGGTGTACTGTGTCAGAAATTAGGCGCCTTAATGGGCAATGAACAAGAGTATCCATACACCAGTACGTGTTCTTGCGTAGGAAGCAATACGCGACGGGGATGCGTTGAGTGCTGGAAACTGAATGGTTTTAGACCGAAATGGAGCGTTTGCTGGATCCTCGTTCTATTGTAGCTGAGCAGTCTTACCTGCGCCTCAGTGCCACGGAGAAAATACTTTTTCAAAGCAGATGGGATATCTGAGGTCAGTCTGCTTTGGGTCATTAGACTAGCTGCAGGGGATGGGGAATTACTGAGCACGGAGTGGCCGCGGGACAGCTTTCGGGTCATTTTTTAAACAGTGAAACATCCTTGCTCAGTTACCATTCGCTAGTGAAGCCATGATGCGGCGAAACATTGCAGCATGAGCAGTACGACCAACCGCAGCAATGTCGTGAGGCAATGATCGGTCGTATTCTCAGCCGGTAGTCACAGAAGTGTCGGCGGTGGACCTGCTGCATCTGGCTCTTCAATTACGTCAGCTTTCTAGGGCATTCTTAGAGTTCTATTCATAATTACGTTCCAACTGCTATAATTGGCCCTAGTTGTTGAGGAAGCTTCATCAACAGCCGTTGTCTCCAAGGCCTTATGCTCCGAGCATTTAGCGCCAGAGGGCCCCAATCATTGATCCCAGTAGCCGCTTTTTCTTCTCCTTCGTATACAAGCTGCTCAGCAAGAGATGCACCAAGGCAGAGGCTTCTGCTATTTTAATTCAGCAGGCAGGCGGTATATTAAAGTAAGACTAGGAGACCCTTCAACTATTCTAGCTGCCTGAGGCTCAAGCGTCTAGAGCAGGTGCTGAGCTGCACAACATTGACAAATACCATTCTGATGTTTGCCCCTCACGGGGACCAGAGCATAACAAATCTCCATGAAGCTGCCTCAAGGGGCCACTCCGCGTCGGGCAGGGACAGCCCCCTTTCCCTGTCAGAGCTACCTATGGCAAACGCACACACAGGGAGCAGAAGACCCTTAGACGCCAGCAGTGCTCACAGGGGCTCCAATGGCAGTCCCATTGAGCAACCCCATGGTTATGCAGGTAGTGTACACAGTGAATGGCCTCGCGGCCGCCCTCGAAACGCCGTCTCACGCGTGGGTTACATCAACGACGAGAGGGAACCACCAGTAGGAGCTCGTTCCAAGGATTCAATGCCACTGACACCTGAGAGCGGGATGGAAGCCTGTGGTGTGGCCCTACCGCCATCAGCTACAGGCAGTCAGCTGGTAACCCCCAGAGAACCGAAGAGCGGCCGACCACCGCCGCGCCTACGGATGCACCAAATGCATCTGGCTGTACCCACCACAACGTGAGACCCGAAATCCTAGAAGTCTAATTAAATGAGTGAGCGGAAGGCTCTTAACAGTGTGTGTGTGTGTGTGTGTGTGTGTGTGTGTGTGTGTGTGTGTGTGTGTGTGTGTGTGTGTGTGTGTGTGTGTGTGTGTGTGTGTGTGTGTGGGTGTGTGTGTGTGTGTGTCTGTTTGTGTTTGTGTGTGTTTGGCGTTGTGTTGTTGTAGATTGGTAGTGCACGTGTAAGACTTAGTGTCATTGGCGTCTTGTGTATGACAGCATCGGCTGCTGAAGAAATGAACGATAGGTCAGAT